TGAAGGGACCAATCCTGCAGACCCAAAGCCGCAGGATCTCCACAACACAGGGCAACAGCATAATATCCAAGGCGAGTCCTAGCGAGGGCCCAGCATCGACCGTAGAAACCAGACGCCTTGAACCAGACCAGTGACTCTTGGCAAGGAACACTTGCAAGTGAAGATACCCAGACAAAGGGGGTTTCCTGTGTGACTCACTGTGTCACACTGCAGATTCCATGATGCGATTTTGTGTTTTACTTGATTAGTCAGCTGGGACCTTGATGAGATTTTTAATTTTTCCTCTTTCTTTTCCCTTTCTTCTCTCTCTCTCTCTCTCTCTCTCTCTCTCTCTCTCTCTCTCTCTCTCTCTTTGTGTGTGGGGGGGTGGTTGCAGGGAAGAGGGTGGATTCGAAGGGATGGGAAAATTAATGGGATCGTGACACACGATGTAAAAGGCACATAGGATAAATACAAAGAGGAAAGCAGTAGTAAAATCTGACTTAGTGCAGAAGGTATACAGATCTAGCTGAGAGAATAATTAAAATCAAAGGTTTAAATCCATAAAATGAAAAGCTAAAGAACACTTCCTTATCTCAACGACTGTTGTTAATTGGTGAAAAAGGAGTTTTAGCATACCAAGACGTGACACTCCACACTCTCAGATTTCCATCAACAGGGAAAATTACATTATGGAGGACAGTGTAAGTTTTGCTATATATAGCCAGGATCATTGGAAGTATTTCACATCAAAAGTGATGCTTCAGCTTACGTGGACATTTGGCATTGCATTTGTTCAGGTTGAAGAGCCAGCTCCTTAGCCATAGCCTGAAAACAGGTTACATATTCCCTCCCTTTGAAGGGACAGCTCTGTGTGTTTAACACCACTGGTCCCCTAGTGCTCTCTCTGTGAGCAGAAGGACCTCCTTCCCTCCCACCTTTCCCTGTATGAGAACAGTCATGCCACAGCGAGCTGGAGACGGTTAAAGTGATGTCATAGCGGCTGGAGACGGTTGAAGTGATGTCATAGCGAGCTGGAGACGGTTGAAGTGGGAGAGCATGCCAGAAGTTATTTTCTGAGACAGATAGTCATGGCTTGCTTCAAGCTGATACCAAGGTTGCTGAACTTGAGTGAAAAGAAAGGACTATGAGTTTTCTGTATTAGGTGGAGCTGAGGATTGGGCTTATAGGCACACTCAGGTACTTATCAGTTGTGGGTACATCATCGCCTGAGGAGTAGAACAATTGTCCTGTAAAGTGACAAGTTGAGGTCTTTGTACCCATAGACACTGGTTTGAAAAACATACCTGCATGCATAGAGGACCTTGCTGACATTGAGTTATGATAGTGGAGAAAACCTCAAGTGATGCAAGGTCCTTAAGAGGCATGGGATGAGATTTCTGGCAAGTCTGGAGTTGTGGGAGGCAGAGCAGGAGAGGAGACGCGAACACACAGCTCAGGGGGAAAGGCCCAGCGACCGATGATCAGCTCACTGAGAATGGCCTGAGAAGTGCAAAATAAGCTGGTGTGTTAACCTTCCAGGTAAACATGGCTCATGACATAATTAAACCTGTGTTTTTAAGTTATAGCTTAAAAATAATAAGGTATGTGTGCGTAACTGTCTGAACCAGTGTGTGTGTAAATGGCAGTCTAGAATTCACCTGTTGAGGATCATTCAATAACAAGGCCCTGTCTTTCTCTGTAACTGTTGCAGACCTGTAAACTCACCTTTGACATCTCTCAGGTAGACCAGCAGCACTCACACCTTTTACACTGGCACCTTATCGCTGAAATGTGCTGTCTTTCCTAGCTAATGGATAATTATTCTTAGAACTAGACTGGCCCAGAATGTTCTTGAATCAGCTAGAAACAGTAGAAACAATCCTCTATATGTTGGGAACTGGGGAAAAATGTGAAGGGCATGTTTTTGCTTCTTCTCCCTTTGTAAAAGTAACATCACAAATAAATTAAAATATATTCAACATGTATTTCCCGAGTGCCAGGTATTGATGCACCATACTGATTCTGAATAATATACCTAGCCTACACTGAGCGTATATTTCCTGTGTGTAAGATATGATCATGTCATACTAATTTGGAACTTTCATACACAATTTAATAAAGGTAGGGACATTCTTAAGCAGCTACATGACTTGAGTATGCAATTATGGAAAAGAAAATTTGTATGGGCTGTATCACTAAGTTATCTAGCATGATTATGTCTCTACATCCTTGGAAGTAATTAAGTAGAAAACAGTGGCATTTGTTTTCCACATGGAAAGATAAAAATAAAATTCTTCTGTTTATGTGATCTGTTCATGCATACAATTCTCTCTCATGCTATGGAGATTAGCACAGATTCTTAGGGAAGATGATTTAAATTTAAAATCCCAGACGTTTTAAGACCAGTGTCTCCAACTCTGTTCAGCTTTGATCTCCACGGGTTACTGACTGCCTCTTGGTGGACCCTGGGTAAAGAGGGAGTGAGACTCTGTCTTCATCTGCAGCAGCAGACATGGCAGCATCTGGGGAGAGTTTTTGTACTGCACACTTTCTGACTCAGGTCCTTGGAATGGCCATGTCCCTGGCTCTTGTGGTAGCTGGGAAGAATAAGGGGCTCCCTGTTCAAGCTTGGCACTGACCTATTCTCCACTTTCAGTAGCTTGACTCTGTGTTTAACCTCTGAGTTCTTTGTTGTGTTTATAGTGCCTTATTAAGATTTTAGATCGTAAAGCCTTAAGCCTTATAAATGGACACAGAGCTTTTCTTTTGTCCCAGCCGTCCAGTTTCAAATAATCACATTAAAGTTAATTATTGTTAGTTACAGAATGCTCAGCCTATATATAGCTCAGGCCTATTATTAACCAGCTCTTACAACTTAAATTAACCCATTTCTATTCATCTATACTTTGCCACGTGGCTCGTGGCTTTACCTGTCCTTTAGCGCATCTTGTTCCTCTGGTGGCTGGCTCACATCTGTCTAGACTCCGCCCTTCTTTCTCCCTGTATCTCCATTTAGCCCCTCCCCCCAGCCTTATTCTGCCAGGCTATAGGCCAGAGCAGCTTCTTTATTAACCAATGTGAATAAGACATATTCACAGCATACAGAAGGATTATTCCACGGCAAAACCATGTCAACAATCTCCACCTCCTCACTTTATAGGTTAAGAAGCTGGCTCTTAGACCAGAATCAGACCTCATTGCTCTGGTCTGGAACTTTGTTTCTGTTGCAGACTGGTTTGTGACCACATACACACACGCACACACACACACATGAGCACACACACGCACACACACGCATGAGCACATGCACACGCATGAGCACATGCACACGCATGAGCACATGCACACACATGCATGAGCACGCACACACGCATGAGCACACGCACATGCACGCACATGTATGAGCACACACACACCCTTCCTTATTTGCAAATCTCTTCCAGGTCCTGGCTTGCATCTTGTTCTTCATCTCTTAGAGTCACGCAATGTCCCTGATGGGGGGACAGTTGTATATTGATGTTAATCCTGCGGTGAAGTCGCTTCGTGCCCTGTATAGTTAGCACCAGGCCAAGAAGGGCCCGGATGAAAGAGCTGCCCTAGGGACAGTGCACACCATGGAGGGCCATGCTGTTTTCTGTCACTCGATGGACGGGGCTCTGCGACAGTGCAGGCCCATGTCCCAGTTTGTCACTCATTAGCAGGGGTTCTAAGGACTGCACAGATGCAGAAAACACACATGAAAATTTTGTCAGAACTGAACAAGGAGTCACAGAAAATTTATAGGCTGTTAGCCAAAAATGTTAGAGAATGTACTTAAAAATGAGAGCGGGTACTGTTTCCTTATTCTTGATGTGGGATACTTGTTAGGTCAAAGTCTACATAGAGCAATTTATGGCTTTTACTTATGATCCATTTTTAACTGGGAAAAAAAGTTCACTTAAGTTGTTTTAAGAGATCTCATTAGCAAAGAATGTGGAACTTTTACAAATGCTGTTAAGTTTTGATACAGCCCAAGAGCCAGTTAGCGCTGCCCCTCCCGGCATGCAGACGGACCTGCAGGGCAGCTTCCCTTGGGTTAGCATGCCGATCACCACAGCGTGCTGCGACACCCGTGCTACCTAGCTTGTGGTGTGCCCACTAAATAAATTAAAGCAGTACAACATAGTTACCCTCAATTGTGTGGGGTGGGGTGTGTATGTAAAATGAAGCTTTTAAAATGTACTGTATTGCCTAAAATGAACCTCTAAAACGTTACTGTTCCCGGGAACAACTACATGAAAGAATGGGTAAAAAGCAAGCTGTTGACTTGAGATGAGAACTGTATAACTCGGGGTAAAACAGCACGGTTGTAGTAGTCTAACATCTGCTAAACAGAGAAGTTCTCTTAAAGTAAATGCATCATACAGAAGTTCGGTAGTCTATTACAGATACAAGGGTAAAAGCCTGCACTGTATCTTTCATGTTTTGTGTGTTAGGATGCTGTCACATGAAGACTGATGAATTCCGTTTTACCTGTTTCTCTTACAATACCAATTCGTGATGCTGCTTCAGCGTAATTGGAGTAGTCTGATCCCTCTGACTGTCAGGGTTTTGTTGTTTATTCTTCCCAACCCCCTTGGTTCCCCCCCCCCCCCTTTGGAGACAGGGTTTCTCTTTGTAGCTTTGTAGACCAGGCTGGCCTCAAACTCACACTCACAGAGCTCCGCCTGCTTCTGCCTCCCAAGTGCTGGGAATAAAGGTGAGCCACCACTGCTCGGCTGTTTTAAGATTGTAAAATTAGTGTGTTTCACGTTTAAAAATAAATTAGATTCTTCTAACAGGTAAATTGAATATGAAACCCTGCTTGAAAGTCAGTTTTCCTCTGTAAAACACAGGAAATATACTTAGTAATATATTTAGTATAAAAAGCAAGAGTTACAAGGACCAAGGAAAATAGGATGTAAGTACTTGGCACATAATAGATTTGTACTCTCTCAGCTTCCGTCCTTCCTAATGCTCAATGCTTCTGTTACGTTTAGATATCTGACATCCATGTAACAGGAGAGTCAGAGGACATGTCTGCGAAAGAAAGGTTACTACTGTGGACACAGCAGGCAACAGAAGGCTATGCTGGAGTACGGTGTGAAAATTTCACTACCTGCTGGCGAGATGGGAAACTATTTAATGCCATCATTCATAAATACAGGTATGCAATATGTATTTTCCCCTCGTGTAAGAAAGACAAGTCATCCCTTTCTAGCGTTTTACATAACGTGTTACTATCAAAGAAGCAGTTCATGTGTGTAGCAGAGAGATAGCTTAGATCAAATGAAATACTACACAGGCCTACTACTCAGTTAGTACTACATGTGTGTACAGAGAGAGAAAGAGAGACAAACAGACAGAAAGACAGATGCACACACACACACACACACACACACACACACACACACACACACACACACACACACACGGCAGGTAGACAGAGGACAACAGAGCTGTATTGTGTCTGGATTTTTTTTATATGACCTAGCAGGTAGTAAGCTCTGATGCCTACGACCTGCAAGTCACGGATCTAGATTTTGTCTGTAGGGAAGAAGTGCAAAGACGGGGTTTATAGTTCACAGGCGTAACAACCCATGAATCTCCAAGTCTTATCACTCTGTCATTCTAAGGGGTGACAGGACAGCTGATCTGGGCCTGGTGAATAGTTTTCCTATGAAGATTATTAGTCTTACTGTTATCATTTGAATTAACACTGAGTAGCATTGTTCTAAGCATTGATTAGTTCTCACCACATTCCCTCTTGCTGTCCCTATTTCTACACGAAGCTGAGACACTGGGTAAATGTTTACCTCGTCACAAGACTTGGGGTTCAAACCCTGCAGGCTGGCTCTTGAGTTTGTGCTTTTACTGTCTCTCTAGAGATTAAGTGTGCGTGTGTGCACGCGCGTGCGCGCGCGCACACACACACACACACACACACACGTTTATTGAAAACTATGGGTTTAGCCTTGGTTATTTTCCTTGTTTTTACAGAGATTGTGTCATATGGAAGAGCCAAATATATTCACAAGTAGATTAAGTCTAAGCTATAACCGTATTAAACTGAAAAAGGCGTTGACTATAATAAACATTACACAAAACTCGTAATGAACTCTTCACACATTCACACTCAGCAGCGCCTATTTTTAGGTAGCCCAGTAGCCTCCTTCCTTTATGGAACAGCTTTTGAGGAGAGGTGGGTAGAGGTTGCTGAATTAGGAAGAAGATCTGGGTCAGCCTGCCTGCCCATGTCCAGGGTACAGTGCACATACTGAGCAGCACGGCAGTACAGACATGTCCACGGTCGCCAGGCCTGTCCCAGGGACTCGCCCCTGGGAGAGCACGGAGCTCTTTCTCTGAAACTTTGTAGGTAGTATAAAATCGTTTTTAGAGACGAGCTTTTCTAAAATTATCTGCTTTAAAATTGTTGACATCTGTATTGGCCGTGGTAGCCCATACTCAGGAAGCTGAGACGGGAGGCTCACAAATTCGAAACCAGCCTGGGTTCCATAGCAAGCCCTGGTCTATTAATAAATGCTGTCTCTTCAGTACTCATTAAGGATTACATGAGCAAACTGGCATACATATGTGTATTTTTCCTAAGTACTAAAACGAGTCACTGTACATCGTAGATTCTAAACTTTTCAAGAGAAATTAGATTTGCCGTCACTCGTTTTGGTGAGAAATGGGATTTTTTTTTTTTTTTTTAAATCCTATGTGTTTGTGTATTTTGTGTTTGCTACCACCAGCATGTCTGGTGCCCTCAGAGGTCGGATTTCAAACCACTATGTGGGTGTAGGTCCTCTGGGAGAGCACTAGCCTGCCCAGAGCCACTGAGCCATCCCTCCCCAGACCAGAAATTGGAGTTATGTTTTTTTTTTTTTTTTTTTTTTTTTTTTCCTTCTCTAGAATTTCTGATAAAATTGAACTGCAGCTCTAAATGCTGTCAGGGTTTCTGTTGCTGAAGTTCTGTTACGGAACTCTGTACCCCACACTTAGTCTTTTTCACTGAAAGAAACCTTAAGTCTCTAAGAGGTATTTTAAAGCTTTTGCGCCTTTCTTAAGACAGCAGTTGAGTATTTTTCCTCCAGTGTGTGTAAGAAGTAAACAGATAGGCTTGGCTTCCACATATTTCTTACTTCTTAATACCTTACTCCAAAGACCAAGTCATAAACAAGGGAAGTATCAACATGAGTGGGTTTTTAGATATTAAGTCATGATAACTTAGGAGCAGTGTTTGATTTTATAGTTGGTTTTACTTATTTGTTCGCTTACAATCTTAATGTATTTAATTTTTCTGTGAAGACCTCTTTTTATTTAGATAATGAAACTTTATTATTTGTCGGATTTAATCTTGCTTCAGTAGGAAAACTTAGCTGAGCTAGCACAAGGGGCTGTTTTCTGAGCAAATGGATAGCTATTAGAGGACCATCAGAGTGATGGCTGCAGGGGCTGGGGTAGATGGCTGCAGTGACTAGAAGGCTGTGTGTAATGTAGATCGGGTTCTCACACCCCAAGAAGACTGTGTGTTAAAAACAAAAATATATACTGATTTTTCAAGGTAAGCAGTATTGCTTCACATGGTGATTTAATAAGAATTTCATATATAATATCTAAGGATTTAGAAATATTCATTGTCTATAAAAGCAGAATTGTGATTGATTACTAAGCTTTAGAAAGTAGCACACAAAGCAATAGGTTTGCTTATGGTGTTTTCAATCATACTTTGGTTTTCTTGTTCACACATACATGTTCAGGATCTTGGAATAATATAAACTACTTTGTGGAAAGCCATTGGTCAAGTAAATTGTTTTGGACAGCCTACCATAATTTTTATTAGTATTGTGCCTAGAATATTTGAAAATAAACAGATTTGCTAACCTAAGTAAGCAATATGTTATTAACAATTCAATATCCTAAAATTTTTACATAGCTTAGTTTTCTGATTTTTATCAACCAAGGAACTATTATATGAAATTAAATGAAGAGATATTTTAAAGGTAACATTGCCTTTGTAAATAGAATTGTCCACAGAGGTAAAAAGAACACAGATTTAGAAGAAGTGTGTCCATGAAACACACACAGAATGTTAACATGTAGGTAGATGTTTCTGCTCCAGCAGAAATTTGTATTATAATAAAAAATAAATGTTAGTTAAAAAAATTATCAAGCTGGGCCATGCTGCAATACAAAACAAAACAAACACACACACACACAAACAAAGAAACAAGGAAAGTCTCCTGAAATAAACTGTGCCTTCATTTTTATCAATAATAAAAATATTCAAATGCTAATTAATGAGCTCAACATCATATGCCTTTTAAGAAACAATGAACGTGAGTGTTCTGGCTTTTGTCATTAATGGCATAGCTTCTGTGTGCTAAGGGTTTTAAAGGTGGAGGTGCTGACCTGAACAATGGAGTCATGGGCCAACCCAGGTCTTTGTTTCTTCTCATAAATTATTGAGGGATAGTGTTAGTTGCTTAATTTAGGATTAGCTAACTGTTAAAATCATGTAATATGTTAAGAACTATTAGATTAAAATTTAAAGCATACTAAAATATTTAGCTTAAGAGTAAAATCACAAATCTATAGTGTTAACATGTCATATTATCTGGAAGAGATAAAGAGCCTGGATTGTGGTCTAGGTAATAACAATGGGAAAGTAAGGCCCTCATAGAGAACAGTTCTTGGGTTTTGTTTAAGTAGATTACAGCTAAGTTAATTTCCCCCTGTTAAATCTTGTTAGGGGATTTTGTTGCTGTTCCCGGGTCCTTCTGGGCACTTCTGCTTGTTACGTTCAGTTTTCAGTGCAAAGAGTTGAAATAATAAAAGTGCATGTACATGCCTGCTTGTTTTCCTTGTTCGGTCCAAGTAACTTGAACGCTCTTTGGTCTGTAGTAAAATCTTGAGAGATGTGAAGCTCCCCCTTGATGAGCTCAGAACTTTGTCACTCAAAAGACTATCAGGGAGGACTGTGTTTGATGGGTCTAGATGGAAAGCGTGTCACAGGAGCATTTGATGAGGGAGCTTACTAGCAGGAGGAGCTGAGGCAGCCTTAGTGAAGTGCCACCAGCCTGGGCACCCCAGGAGTGTTGCCTAACAGGGTGAGTTAGGGTTCGGGCAGCAGAGTAGCCTGCGGACATTGCTGTGTGTTCCCGAGAGGTAGATCTTAGGCGAGTTTCAGCGTGGCTCCTGCCATAGGTGCGCCCGCATGTCTCTGTCCAAAGGAGGTAAAGCTCTGCCTTTGTGCTTGAACTTCTGCCCCTGAGCTACCTTCAGTCAGTCTCTGAGCTGAGTGGATATTTCCCCTAGAGTTCCTGAAAGCCAGGGTCCACATAGCAGCACCGGCCTCATAGTGTGAAAACTGCAGCTGTCTGGGTGGGAAAGGATGTGACCTGTGCACCAGGGAGAGCATGGGGAAATGCAGCGTGGTCCTGAGATGCTGCAGGGCAATATGGAAAAATTCAGGATTATCAGGACCAGAAAGCTGGGGTGTGGGGGTGCATTTCCGGGAGAGCTAACTGCTGCTTACTAGTTCCTGCCTGTCCTGCTCTTGTTTTTAATTTACCCATTCATTTATTTCAACCTCTTGTTGAGTCTCTGCATTCTTTCCATGGGCATGTTTTAAATATATCAGCCAATTAAAAGTGGGAAATTTAGGCAATAATTTACAAGAGCGTGCCCTTTAAACTACTTTCTAACTAAGGAGGACATAATTTAGTATTAATTATTTTGCTTGTAATTTGCATTTTCAATCAAAATTTATTAGGACCACTGCACGTCATAATATTAAAAGTTTAACAACGTTTTAATTGGGTGAGTTCCTTCAGAGCTCTGTGGTCAGAGGCGTCATGTTTAATCATACGACCTGCAGGCTGGTGAGTCACTCTCTGTCTTGGATTCTGTCACTCCTTAGAAGCCAAACCGGATTGGATTGGTTTAAAGCTGGGAGGAGGCCCTTCAGGCTTTGAAATGTTCTCAGGGGAAGGTGGTTCTTGTTGACTGGGTAGTTCTTTTCCCTCTGTCCTCGGGCTGCAGAGCCCTGATGGCGGGAGGGTGTGTCTAAACGTGTGCACACACCTGGGTGTTATAGGTTCTGGTTCCTGTGGCCGTAGTCACTGGTGGTTACTAATGTTAAAACAAAACAACAACAACAAC